TTGAATTTTTACCGTATATGCTTTCCAGTATTATAACGAAGATCAGAGCGGTGTGGAAGAATGCAAATCTTGCATCCAGCACCCTTAACCCAGAAGACATTCTTTGCTTGATTAAAATAATAACCTGCTACGTTTATTTTATTGTAAATTTCGTAATGTAACGTCCAGACAGCGTGGCGGTATTCCAATGGATTCTCCTGTCAGTGTCCTGAAAGCCGAAATCTACACGAATCGTCTTGAGCGCAATATCCATTCTCTCTATGCATCTCACCTCAAACCTGCACAATATTTAAGATACAAAGATGGCGCCTTCACTTTGCGTAATATTCCTAATCATTTTTGCCTACTGCATGAATATTTAAATAACCAATGTGTTAATAATATTATAAAATTCACTACAGAGCACGGAAAAACAAACCATTTGACGTTTCTCTATATTCGCATTGAACCATACGCCATTTGTGCGTAATCTCCTTCCCCGCAGCGTTTTAACCGTTTTCTGAACACTTCATCCTACGCTCCCAAATCTATCTTCGTCAGTATCACGGGATTCATCCGTCATAGGGGTTTTAGATGCTGCAGTAATGTCTGACAATGGTGAAGTCTAGTAGCTTTCATCCACTTTTCTTAAAAGCGGACATGCCAAATATTAATTGATTCTGTACTTGAACACCTCGTATTTGTTCCCGCCCCATGTTTTGATTGTAATTCCCTCATTTCGATACCATACGTATTCAGAGATATCCGAGGAAATTAGACGATTATACTTTAAAAAAACTAGGTCTTGATGTATGTGTTCGTGTGCAAAACCTTAGGAAGTCTATTGTACAAGAGGTTTGATCCTCAGCCCCCCCCCCGGAAGAGGATAAAAACATGATCTATCAGATACCTTACAATAGCCGTGAGCGAATATGTAGCGTCAAGACATGTCGAACGTCAAAAACTAGACTAACAGAACGCTTAAGCGCCATTGGGTACCCTAACGCGGATCACTGATCATTTTGATTTTGTTGCACATGTCCTGGAGAATGGTCATGACTTTTACAACAGCGGTGAAACGGCGGTCGATCGACCCGGGACAAGGTGAAGCTGTTAATCAAATCGCATTCAGCAAAAATAAGACTTGCAATGAATGCCTTGGCTCCATCGACATTTCCGCGGCTTGGAGCATGATTCATATTTTAATTGGTGCCCTGGCTGGCGTCCAACCAATCGGGTGAAACGCCAACTGACTCAACGGTTCATTTCTGTTTCGTGATCATTCCCTGACCTGGTGATGACCGATGCCAGTTCGGACGAAACGTTGGAATTCTTGTAAATAAAACTATTTTCTTGTCTATCATGCTGCTAAACATACAATCAGAGGCCCGTCATCTTCAAGACGTTTACTGTATCGCTTTGAGCGTTCAAAAGTGATTATAAATCGTTCAAGTTCATCAGCTTGGGCAGGTGCTATCAGTACGCAGTTTAGGCACAGCAGCTGTAGAGTTCGCAGAGAGTACTGACAATAATTGATGCTCGAAACAGTACGTTTTCCGCTCTCGGTGCCTCAGGAACAGATTATTAACACTCGACTTATTCTCTTCTTCTGGCAACCGGAAAACCGTCGGTTGAAATGGCAAAACTGACCGCGAACAGTTCCAAATCGACCCCAAGTTCTCGGATATCCAGAAGCTGCATTCTTGAAATTCATGTCTAGCCGTGGTTGCAACTGCGGCAGCAACGCTTGCTCCAGACGGGATACAACGTTTTGATCCTTGTTCTTGCTGTACGATCAAGTGCTTCATCTGCACCGATTAAACTACAATCTGTACCGTTCTTCGTGGTCCATTTGCGGAAGCCAGCAGATATCATCGGCCGGCGTAGGTGATCCAAAATATGAAGAGGGATGTACTTCCTTTAATGGGCAGATCGGCCGACAGCTTTGTTAGATGCCGCGGAAACGATCGCCTGGGCACTTTCGGTAGTGACAGAGAACATGATTCGGCAAATTGAATATGTCATTCAGAAGGCACTAAGTATGCCGTTTGTCGCTGGATGGAACGAGCTCATAGTCCATGGTAATTGGACGGCAAACTAAGGCCAAATGTTCCTCGCACTTGGTGCCATCAGACACAAACGCAAAGGACAGAAACTTGGTTATTCGAACAAGATACCTTGTCATACTGGTGATGTTCTGAGTCACTGACCTCAGACGCAAAGCTGTAGTAGACTTTCATAACATTCGT